GTTACAAAAAGAGGGAGGAGAGAGATCCTCCAAATTCACTCCCCAGAAGGCCACAATGGCCAGGGCTGGGCCAGGCCGAAGCCAGGAGCCTGGAACTCTACCTGGGTCTCCCAGGTGGACAGCAGGGATCCAAGCGGCCCGGCCATTCTCCACTGCCCTCCCAGGCACATTAGCAGGGAGCTGGATTAGAAGCTGGGGCTCAAACTGGGCTGCTCATACAGGATTCAGGCATTGCAGGCAGCAGCCCCGTGGCTGCACTGCGACACCGGGCCCTCGCCTCTCATTCTTGATCGGATTCACCTTGCTGTAATTTCACTCAGTGTTTGCTATTCACTGCCTGGCATTCTGTGGATGGCAATGGCTACTGTTTATTTTCCATCTTCCCCACTTAGAATAGCCTCTTAAAAAATCATTGTCGTGGGACTTTGCCTCATCCCCCTGGTGTATTTCAACTCCTAGAACTGCACTTGGCACACACGGATTCTCAGTCATTGTTTGGTGAATGGATGATTGACTAAAGGACAGGTTTGACCCATGACTTAGACTGGAAGTTTTGCGAAGATCAGGGCTTGCATATTGTATTTAATTGTATGGCCTAGATTTTTATTTTTGAACAAAACTAAGGGATTAACCTACTGACTTCCCTCCGTGCAGGCTTTGAATCCTTTGGGGGCTTCAGTCGTCTCGGCTGTAAAATGAGGATCAGCCTACAGCCAACCTAATGAGTGCAGGCGGACGTGTGCCTGATTCACTTTGGAAAGACTAACCCTGGACTGAGTGCAAATCCTCAGCCCCAGACCCCCTCTTGAAGTCCCAGCTGGTTCCTGAACTTCAGCCTTGGGATGCTTTGTGGCCCCCTCCAGCTGAGCATGTCTGAAGCCAAGGTCAGCCTCTCCGTGTTCCTCCCCAAACTCCCTCCCCTTCCCTTATGCCCTGTCTGCATGAACAGTGCAGTCATCTTCCAGGGTAGCAGCCAGAAACCCAGACCTGATACACAATGCCCATTTCTCCCTCTACCTTTGCATTGATTCTGCCTGTTGCTATTTGAAACTGTTCTCCTATCTCCATTCCCCTTACCCCACCACTGTCCAGGCCTCCTTACTAGTCTCTTTGCCTCTGTTCATGTCTTTTTAAATTTTTATCTATATATTGTATGATTTTGAGACAGAGAGAGATAGAGATGGAAAAAGGAGGGAGAGAGAAAGAGAGAACCAGAGAGAGAGACCTTCTATCTCTGGTTCACACCCCAGAGGTCCAGGAACCAGAACTCAGTCCGGGTTTCCCACATGGCTGGTGTGTGGCAGGGGCCAATAAGTTGAGCCATCACTTATTGCCTCCCAGGTTGCACATTAGCAGGAAGCTGGAATTGGGAGTGGAGCTCAAGTCCAGGCACTCTGGTACAGTATGTGGGCATGCCAAGGAGGGTCTTAACTGCTGCACCTAACACTCACCTCTCCATCCTTTCCCATCTCTAATCCCTTCTCCAGATCACAAATAGCATTTGTTAAAAATCAATCACATCGCCGCTCCATCAGTGCAGCCCTGCTGTCCCAGGTGAAAGTCGAACCCTCACCTCGCTTGCACCACCAGCCTCCCTCTCGCAACCTTCCTCTCCTGCTGCAGCCTCGGCTTTTCCCTGTCCCCCACGCTCGCTGGGTCTCTTTTCTCTTCAGCACCAGTATCCTTGCTTCTTTTGCTTTCCAGAGCATTCTTACTCTTCCCTTTGCATGGATGCCTGATAGTTCCTTCAATCCTGCATACACTCACCCAGGTCTGAGATAGATATCCCCACGTAGGGCACCATAAAACATTGTCACAGCTAGTGCAGCTGCTTTTAATGGTAAGACATTCAAGAGAGGTATTAATTAGACTCTAAGACAACCATCTATGACTTAAGATAGAAATTCTTCCTTCCTCATATGATAGACTTGTAGTTGGGAGCCAGGTGGGAGGCCACAACTCCTTTCATCCTGTTGTTTCACCACCCTCTGGGTGTGGCCCTTGTCACCATGGGCCCAGATGACTCACCACTGCATCTAACATTCTAACCATCCAGCTTGTGTGGAGGTAGAAGGGTAAGTAAAGACAGCCTCTTCTCCCCATGCCTGTAAGCGCATCACTCCTAAACCGAGCAGGCTGTGTTTATGACAGAGTGGGAGAACACACAGGACAACCGGGCAGTTTGTTGAGCACTGGCTAAGTCAACGGCTGTTTCTCATTTGTGAACCTTGTGACCCACCCTATGGGGACAGTTACTGTCATGAGCCCCTCTCCCATTTTCATGCAGATGATGTTTCAGCAACAAGCCTACTTTGCAAATTTGAGAAAGGATCTGAAGGGCCTGTTAGCCTGGGAACACCATGTGACAACAGTTCTTTCTCAGCAAGGTTTCATGTGATGTGCACATGACTTTTATGTTTGGTAACAAACACGGCAAGGAATTCCAGCACTGTGTGTTCCTGTATAGCTATTATTTTCAACTTGGTTTTATTATGACCCAAGTCATATGTACATGTAGCTAAAGAGTCAAAAGTTCTACATACTGGGGCCATTGCTGTGGCATAGTGAGTAAAGCTACTGCCTACAGTGCCGGCATCCTATATAGGTGCTGGTTCCAGTTCTGGCTGCTCCATTTCCAATCCAGCTCTCTGCTATGGCCTGGGAAAGCAGTAGAAGATGGTCAAAGTGCTTGGGTCCCTGCACCCACGTGGGAAACCCAGAAGAAGCTTCTGGCTCCTGGTTTTAGTTCCACCCAGCTCCGGTTGTTGTGGTCATTTGGGGACAGCGGATGGAAGACCTCTCTCTCTGCCTCTGCCTCTTTGTAACTCTTTCAAAAAAAATAAATTAATTAATTAAAAAAAACTTCTACATACTTTGATACAAAAGTATCGGTTCCCATTCCTGCTCCCAATCCACACACAATGCCCTGAGACCACCAGCTTCAACAGTGAAGCAGACGCTTACTCACCCCAACGTCTCTTGGTAACAGGCTTATATTGCTGCTTCATGATTTCTCAGCCTTAGGCATTATCTATTGGCTTTGCAGAAGATAAGGACTTAAGTCTACCATGAAGCCACTACCCATATGTAACACACACACTCACGCTCACACACACACTCACACTTGCACATTCTGCTATCTCCTCATATAGATGAAACTTAATTTTAGTATTTGCACAGCTGTGTCTGCTAGCATATTCAGTTTTTTACCTTTCCCACACAGTGTTTGTTTCCTCTTAGAATCATTTTCTCAGTTTTAGAGTTTACTTTGTTTTCTGGGCCTTTATGTCTAATTCAACCTCAAACATGTCCACAATTGCATGAACACTTTGTAAATATTTCCAAAATATGGTTGGTATCCCATCACCTTCATCTTTTGGAAGCAATTTCATGGGAACCTCCTAGTCCACTGACCTGGACAGGTAGTCTCTGTCCTGGTACACAGCTGTCATACCAGGGTTGATTCATCATCATCTTGGGCTCCCTGCATCTCTCTTTCATAGGCTGCAACCTTATATTTCTGGGTCCTTGCTTTCCTGCCTGGGATGATTCTGTTCATTTTAGAGCTTAGAAAAGAAAACATGGAGGATTTTGCTCATTTGTTTTGACCATAGGTGCGTGTGTTTAACCTGCCATATATTTTTTAAAAGACATTTATTTATTTGAAAGGCAGAATTACAGAGAGAGAGAGAGAGAGAGAGAGAGAGAGAGAGAGAGAGATCTTCTATCTGCAGGCTCACTCCCCAAATGGCTGCAACAGCTAGAGCTGCGCTGATCCAAAGCCAGAAGCCCGGAGCTTCTTCCAGGTCTCCCACGTGGATGTAGGGGCCCAAGCACTTGGGCCATCCTCTGCTGCTTTCCTAGCAGATCTGAAGTAGAACAGCTGGGACATGAACCAGCACCTGTATGGGATGCTGCTGCTGCAGGTGGCAGTTTTAGCCACTACACCACAGCACGGGCCCCAACCTGCCATCTCTAAGAGGAATTCTTAGCCTTATGTCAGAGATGAAGCAATTGAAGTTCAATATTATAAAGCCACTTGGAAGATTTCCCGGTTGGTCTAGCAGGTGATTTTTCTGTCACGCTGTCTTATCCAGTTCCCCTGCTGAGCTGTACATGCCCTTATGGGAGCTCTAAATCTGTCTTTCCCTGTTGCACCTCCAGGGTCAATGCCTTCCTAGGTGCTCAACTAACATTTGTAAAAATGATTTTTAAATTTTATTTGAAAGTCAGAGTTATAGCAAGAGGGGGAGACACACACACACACACACACACACACAGAGAGAGAGAGAGAGAGGAGAAAGATCTTCCATTATCTGGTTTGCTCCCCAAATGGCCACAATGGCCAGGGATGAACCAGGCTGAAGCCAGAAGCCAGGAGCCAGGAGCCAGGAGCTTCTTCCGGGTCTCCCACATGGTGGCAAGGGCCCAAAGACTTGGGTCATCTTCTACTGCTTTCCTAGGAGCACTAGTAAGGAGCTGGATTGGAAGTGGAGCAGCCGGGACTCAAACCAGTGCCCATATGGGATGCTGGGACTGTAGATGGTGGCTTAACTTACTGTGCCACAGCATCAGCTTCACCAACTAAGGTTTCTTTTTTTGTTTTTGCTTTTAAAGATTTATTTATTTATTTGAAAGTCGGAGTTGCACAGAGAGCGAAGGAGAGGCAGAGAGAGAGAGAGAGAGAGAGAGAGAGAGAGGTCTTTCATCCATTGGTTCACTCCCCAATTGAATGCAACTGTTGGAGCTGCACCGATCCAAAGCCAGGAGACAGGAGCTTCTTCCAGGCCTCCCACATGGGTGCAGGGGCCCAAGGGCTTGGGCCATCTTCTACTGCTTTCCCAGGCCATAGCAGAGAGCTGGATCAGAAGTGGAGCTGCCGGGACTTGAACTGGCACCCATATGAGATGCTTGCACTGCAGGCTGTGCCTTTGCCTGCTACATCACAGCAGCGGCCCCACTAAGGTTTCTTAAATGGATGTGCTGGATCTTCTTTTGAGGACAGGTTTGTTACATCCCAACAATATATTTTTTTGACAGGTAGAGTTAGTGAGAGAGAAAGAGAGAAAGGTCCTCCCTATGCTGGTTCACCCTCCAAATGGCCACCACAGCCGATCCGAAGCCAGGAGCCAGATGCTTCCTCCTGGTCTCCCATGCGGGTGCAGGAGCCCAAACACCTGGGCCATCCTCCACTGCACTCCTGGGCCACAGCAGAGAGCTGGCCTGGAAGAGGGGCAACCGGGACAGAATCCGGCACCCCAACCAGGACTAGAACCCGGTGTGCCGGCGCCGCAGGTGGAGGATTAGCCAAGTGCGCCACGGCGCTGGCCCCACATCCCAACAATATTTTGTGTCTAACCTGCCAAACTCAAAGTGGCTGGACTGGCTGTAAAGAGTCCCCCCCTTGCGGCTATACTGCGTGCTTGTTGTCATCTTAGAACACAGACATCTGTGTGCACCTCAAAGAGCTCCGTGAACCAAAACAAAACCTCTCGGAGAAGGCCATGTGTTGGCCTCTGAATCACATCACACTCTCCAAAGTTTATTTTTGTGAGATGCACAATGGTATAATCACAAACTATTTTTTTCCTAAAAGAACAGCTTGCTCGAGCTACAGCAGTGCTCTGTGTACGACTCTTTTTTCCTGTTTTGAGGATGCCCAGTGGAAACTTGACAGAACAAAGGACTTATTTTTATTAGGTTAAATCTGTGCATTGGGTACTGCCTGCTTGCTGCCTGGTAAGTCTGAATATCTCAACTTGAGGAAAAACAAAACAAAACCCCAAACACTCTTTGATGAATAAAAACAACCCGAAACAGATCCCCGTGACTCTCTATTAGGCTTCAGTGTAATGTAGCCAACAAGGCTCCAGTGCCCTCCCCAGAACCCAAACCTACCACAGCTAAAAATAGCCCTCGGTCTTTCCCTGTGACTCAAAAACAGGAACAGAATAACTTGTTTGCCCCATTATGTGTTCTGCACCGGGCCCCAGCGCCTCTCTCGCCGTGGCTCTTACACACTTGAGCAAATTCTAATCGAGCGATTATAAATCTAATAGCTCTAATGATAGGAAGTGAGTTCTGCACAAACACGCTGCCCTGTGTCCTTAAACAATGCACTGTCCACCCAGGGGCTCACGGGACAGAACAACAACCCTAACCACCACTCAGAACAGAGGGCTCTTCACGTTCGCTGCTTCCATGGGCGTGGAGCTGGGTACTTTGCGTGTATTAACCCTTTCAGTCTTCACTATCCATGAGCATAAGTCTTATTATCCCCATTTTATAGACAAAAGAACTGAAGCCTCTGAAGGCAAAGAAAATTGCCCACAGTCACCCTAGATAGTATAGGAGTGGTAGTCAGGGCCAGGTGTTTTGTTTTTTGTTTTTTTTTTTTTTAAGATTATTTATGTGTTTACTTGAAAGGCAGAGATACGGGGTGGGGGGGGGTGGAGAGACAGAGAGAGACAGAGACAGAAAGATCTTCTATCCGCTGGTTCACTCTCCAAACAGCCACAATGTGCATCTCAAAGCCGGGCAGGGCTGAAGCCAGGGAGCCAGGAGCTTCTTCAGGGTCTCCCTTGTGGGTGCAGGGGCCCAGAGACTTGAGCCATCTTCTACGGCTTTCCCAGGTGCGTTAGCAGAGAGCTGCATTGCAAGTGGAGCAGGTGGGTCTCAAACTGGCGCCCGTATGGGACGCTGGCATTGCAAGTGGTAGCTTAACCCACTGTGCCTGCCCCTCCACTGTGAGATATTAAGAAGGCGGAAGCTTGATCTGTGGTGTTTTGAGATGGTGCCTTTGAACTGTGAGTAGAACTAAAGTCATTTGGGTGGAGCCCCATGACTCGGTGACTTTTTGAGAAGAGGCCGAGAGACCAAGCACACCTGCACAGGTGCGCTCCCTGTCCCTTGCTGTGCTACATGGTCCCAGGACTCTCGGAGCAAGAAAGCCATTGCCAGGTGAGGCCCCTAGACCTTGCACCCTCGAAACCATGAGCCCAGATGAGCCGCAGCGAGAGCCTGCTTCTGTTTTTAGGTACATAGGCAGGAAGGCAGCCTGGGGAGCCCCTAGGTTTTGGATTTGAGCAGTTGAGTGGGCAGTCATGTTATTTTCTGTTACCAGGAAGTCTGGTGAAGCTCGCGGGGTGGCAGGGGAATGAAGGGTCACCGCATTTGCAAAGTCAGTTGCTGGCCGCGTGGAGGCATCCAGAAGGCAGTGGGTACATGAGCTGGGAATTCTGCTGAGAGGCCAGCACTGGAGATCTATTTTGGGAAGCACAGTTTATTGATTGACTCATTTATTATTTATTTGAAAAGGAGAGAGATAGAGATAGAGAGAGAGAGAGATAGAGATAGAAATAGAGAGAGAGAAAGAGAAAATCTTCAACCCAAATGCCCACAGCATGGATGGGCCAGACCAAAGCCAAGAGCCAGAAACTCCATCTAGGTCTCCCTGGATGGTGGCAGGGACTCAGGTACTTGAGCCACCTGTTGCCTTCCAGGGTGAACATCAGCAGGAAGCTGGATGGGAAGCAGAGGCAGAACTCAATTCCTGGCTTAAATCCCTGGGAAGCATAGATTTCTTCAGTATTTGAGTTGTGGGACTGAATTCGAGCCCCGTGGGAGTGAGTGACTATAGAATAGGAAAGGGGCCTCACAGCTTCAATGCTTAAAATCAAAGAGGAGACAGATCCAGCAAAGGACATTAACAAGGAGCTGTCAGTGAGGTGGGGATAGAACAAATACCTTTTTTTGTGTTAACAGAAGCCAAAAGGAAAGAAAACCTTTCAAGGAGAGCCTGGTATGGAAAGGGCGGTGATGTTCTTGTACAAACAGTAAAGTGACTGTCGCATTTGGTCATTTGGAGACCATCGGCCACTTTGCCAAGAGCCATCCGAGAAGCTGGAAGAAATGAGTGGCGAGGAGAACACGAGTTAAGGAAGAGACGCGGCGGGTGCAGCGGATGCGTCCAGCATGGTCTGCAGGAGGGGAGACGGAAGCTTTAGAGCAATAGCTGGAGAGGAATGTGAGCTAAGAAAATGTTGGTTGCTGGTTTTGCTTTTGAAAACCTTGATTCCTGAGCCTCTGTCGGGAGGGAGGGCCGGCAGGCGAGCCGATGGAAAGAAAGGAAGAGATGCAAGAGAGCAGGAGATCGGGGGAGCCACCAGGGACCCCAGGTGGGGCCGGAGGGCAGGAGGGGGCTGGCCTTCCCAGGTGGGAGCAGATACGCGCTCTCAGTAGAGGAAGCGCCCAGCAGGCAGGCCCAGGGGGGTTGTCAGCAGGAAGATGTGGCAGTTTGTAAGCATTTGCTTTTTCTCAGTGGGCCCCAGGTGAAGGCCGAGGAGACGGCACAGGCTTGGGAAAGAGGAGGAGGAGCGAGCAGAAGCGTGGAGAGAGCAGCTGGGGAAGATGCGTGGGTCCGTGGCTGGCACCCCCTGAGACCCAAGTCCACTGACGAAAATGTGTTCCGTGAGAACACGCAGCTGCTTGGGTGCCCACCAGATAGCTGCCAGTGCAGTTTGGCTGGTGGGGGGAGGTGTTGGGAGGGCGTTCACAGGGCAGTGCTCAAGAGAAAGACCCATGCCTCCAAGCTGAGATGAGATGAAGGTGGCTTGACACGGTAACAGGGGCAACAAGGATTAACAGTCTTAATGAGGGGCCAATGCTGTGGCGCAGTGGGTTAAAAGCCCTGGCCAGCATCCCATACGGGCACCAGTTCTAGTCCCAGCTGCTCCTCTTCTGATCCAGCTCTCTGCTAAGGCCTGGGAAAGCAGTAGTAGATGGCCCAAGTCCTTGGGCCCCTGCACCCATGTGGGAGACCTGGAAGAAGCTCCAAGCTCCTGGCTCCTGGCTTCGGGTCGGCGCAGCTCTGGCCGTTGCGGCCAATTCGAGAGTGAACCACCGGATGGAAGACCTCTCTCTCTGTCTCTATCTCTCTCTGAAATCTGCCATTCAAATAAATAAAATAAATCTAAAAATAAAAAAGTCTTAACGAGGCTGCAAACCAGGTCGGACTGCGGGGCGGGAGAAAGGGAGCTGCAGGCCTGCAGAACGTGGCCCGTGAGGCGGAAATGTCAGTGGTGGTGCATTTGCTGTGGCTCACTCTGTGAGAGGGTCAGCCCCGTGGGAAGGAAGCGGGGTGTGAAGGGGGACAGGGCTTTCTTGTGAGTTGCTTGCACAAGCGGCCAAACTACCGGTGGATAATCACCTGAATTTTGAAGCATCCGCAAATGGTGGTGGTTGAAGACAGTGGGAAGACATCAATACCATTAGTGGCACAGACCTGGCAGGCAGATGGTGGCCACCTAGAGGGGTGCGGTGGGGGCACAATGCCTGATGACATGAATGTCACAGAAGGGGGCTGAAGAAGAGGCAAATAGACAGTGTGTAAGTGGCAATGGGGAGCCAGGTGCCCACCCATCCATCTCCTTGTATGTGGGCAGGATAAGGGGCGGGAATCAACCTACTCTCAATGGTAGCGCAAATTTTAGGGCAAATCCATTGAGGGCACAAGGGAGGGCAGCGTTCTGAGACAGGATCAGGGACTCAAGTGGAGGCTGCTGAAAGGGGGCTGGGCTGGGATAGTTGGGTCCTCTTACCAGCTGTGTAAAGCACCCGGGAGCCAGGAGTTGAGGCAGGAGGGGATGTTGAGGCAGGAGGTGGGAGGATTGTTCTGGGGGTGACTTTGGTGAGCAGGGAAGTAGAAATGATGGGGTCAGTGCAGAGGATCGCCTAGGCATCGGGTTTTACACAGGAGAGTCAATGAAATCTGCTCAGCGCACTTCTCTAATTAGACCCCTTTAAGAGGCTCTCATTGTCTTTTGGATCAAGCCCAGATTCAGCCCTGCAAGCAAGCCAGACCCCCCTGCCTCCCCAGCTCTACCCGAGTCGGCCACAGCACCGAGCTGAACCCAACAGGATCTTTTCCTCCTGCTCTCTTGACGTTTCAGGTGGAATAGCATAGAGCTTCACTGCAGACATCTGCTTCCAGGCATTGGCGCTGTGGCTTAGTGAGCTAAGCCTCTGCCTGCAGTGCGGACATCCTATATGGGTGCGGGTTTGAGTCCCAGCTGCTCCTCTTCCAATTCAGCTCTGTGTTTATGACCTGGAAAAGCAATGGAAGATGGTCCAAGTGCTTGGGCCCCTGCACCTGCATGGGAGACCCCAAAGAAGCTTCTGGCTCCTGGCTTCAGATCTTCCCAGCTCCGGCAACTGAGGTCATCTAGAGATTGAACCAGCAGATGGAAGACCTTTCTCTCTACCTCTCCCTCTTTATCTGTAACTCTGCCTCTCCACTAGATAAGATCTTAAAACAAACAAACAAAAACTAGTTCCAGAATGTCCGGGTTTGAATCCTGGCTCTTGCACATTCTAGCTACATGACCTTGCTTGAGCAAGGTGCCTCAGTTTTCTCATCTGCAAGATGGGGGTAAATGAGAGTACCTACCCTAGAGGGTTATGTACAAGGGATTTGCAAAAAGTTTTTGGAAATGCAGGTTTATGAAAAATATGCATATATTTTAAGTATTTTAAAAAGATCTATTTATTTGTGACAGAGAGAGAGGGGGAGACAGGGAGATAAAGAGATCTTCAACCTCTGATTCATTACCCAAATGGCCACAACAGTCAGGTTTGAGCCAGGCTGAAGCCAGGAGCCCAGAACCCCACCCAGGCCTCCCACATGGGTGGCAGGGGCCCAAGTACTTGGTCCATCTTCTGCTGCTCTCCCAAGCACATTACCAGGAAACTGGATTGGAAGTAGAGCACCCAGGACTCAAACTGGCATTCTGATAAGGGATGCTGGTGCCATAGGAGGCAACAGAACCTACTATACTACAACGCCAGCCCCAGATTTCAAGGTTTTTTTTTTTTTCTTTTGGTACCAAGATAAATTTACCTTTTAAATCCATTTTCCACACTCTTTTCTCAGTACTGTCATACATGCAGAAGCACTACTGTCTCTGTCATGTGGGTGAGTTGCAGTGACCAGTCCCTCCAACTGCCCTTCCCTTGGCTTGGAAAACCCACCCGCCCTTGCTGCCCTCAGCCCCTCTCTTTCCTCCATGCACCTACCTTCAAGGGTCACCTGCCACCTTCCTTCCTGCACAAGGCTTTCTCGGGCCCCTGGTGGAGTCACAGGCCCCACTGCCACGCTCCTGTGGCTGCCTGTGCCACCGTGATGCCACCGTGATACCACCGTGCCTTGTCTGATGAACCTGGCCCGCACATTCACCTCTCGGGGGGCCACCGTCCTACCCGGCACACAGTAGGGGCTCATAAGTGTTTGTCAAATGACAGATTGAATGGACGCCTTCTCCAGAGGGAGAGGTAGCAGGCTTTGGGGCTGAAAGGTGCAGTTGCAGACATCTGCAGTGTACAGGCAATGCCCGGCATCTCGGCTTGAATCTGCCTGGGCCCGTGGGGGGTCATGGATGTGTACAACTCGCTGATGCATGGAGCTTGCATGGCTTTTATCACTTCTTTTTATTTTTAAAAATTTATTTATTTACTTGAGAGGCAGTGTTACAGACAGACAGAGAGAGAGGTCTTCCATCCGATGGTTCACTCTCCAAATGGCCAGTAACCCAGAGAGAATTGTGTTTTGACTACAGACGCATACAAAGCATGGCGTATGCATGTGAGAAACATGAGTTGTTCTGTGCGTGGACAATCTGTGTATGTGGCCTTTCTGCCAGACCCTGAGATGGCTAAGGGCTGGGACCCTCAGGCTGCGAGCTCCTATGCAGTGTTTCTGAAGACTGAAATCCTCTGTTCTCCCAGGAGGGGAATAAACACCCAAGGCTAATTCCAGGAGCCTGGCTGTGATTCGGAGCTGATTGAGCAACTTGCCCTGACCTCTGAGGCCATGGCATGGCTTGTTGCAACTGGCACAGAGGAGACCAGAACCACCACAGCTGAAGGGCAGACAGCTGCTGTCTTGGCCAGGGTTGGGCTTCTGTTATAGCAGAGGGGAGCCTGAAGAGAAAGCATAAACAAGGGAGCAGCGACAGAGATGAGTCTACTGGTCTCTGGCTGTTAAGCCTAAACTAGTCTGTTGGTTTAACAATTGTCTGGGTCTTTCCATAAATATCAGTAGCCTGCAGCAATCAGAGGCAATGGAGTGGAGGCTGGGGGGACGGGTATGCAATCCTCCTCACCTTACTACCTGCAGGTAGGCTGTTATGAAAGCAGATCCGAGATCAACGTCTGCCTGAGTTGTGTTTATTAGCACGTTAGCCATAAAACCCACAATCAGTTCTGTCAAGTGGGGGATAAAAGGAGGGAGCCCTGCAAGCACTCTGCATGAAAGATTGAGTGCAAGAGAGAGCAACCCACCGTGCACCGGGTCAAGTGCGGGAAGAGGAGGTAGGGCACTCAGGGGCTCGGACTTGGCTGCCCCAGGGTGCCACGTTGCTGAATTTGCTGATTCTCGTATCTTGTTTTGCACAAAAGCTGAGCTGTGGTCTTTCCAGCTAAGCTACCTGGAGCACTGCTCTTTCTCCAGCATGCGTAATTAGTTTTGACATCCTTGATGCTAATTAACAAACCCCTGGTGTCGATTTCTATTTCTGAAAAGCTTAAGCAGTCTCCTCCAGAGTATGGATTTCTAACTAAGGCACTTTGGATATTATCTACCTGCCTTGAGGGGGTCAATTAAAGTTAATGGACACACATGCATTATACTTTTTTACAAAGACCTATTTTTAAGCAAATTGCCACACATGCAAAATGACATCAACTCAAAGATGAAAGTGGCCCGAGAGGCTCTCTAGCCCGTTGGTCTTGTTCATTCCTTCATTCCTCTGTTGATACAACAGTTCTGGAGCACCTACAGTATTATTCCAGGCATTGTCCTAGTGCTCAGGTTAGAGTAGGGAACAGGAAATCAAGGGCCTGACATCCAGAGGCTTCGTCTGCAGTGGGAGAGACTGACAATATACATAACACTTAGCACTCCCAGGGAGGCAGCAGATGATGGCACAGGCACTTGGGTGCCTCCCAACCCATGTGGGAAACCTAGACCAAGTTCTGGGCTCTTGCTCTGGCCTAGCCAACCCCTGTCTGCTGGAAGCATTTAGGGAGTGGACTAGCAGATGGATGATCTCTTCGCTTCTGTCTTTTCTCTGCCTTTCAAATAAAATGAAAATAAATTTTAAGAAAACATAAATACATCATCTACTGTCTAGTGATGACAGCTGTTATAAAGAAAAAGCAGCATCAGGACTAGCACAGGTCTTTCCAATGGAAACATAATGGAAGTCGTACATGTAATTACAGTTCTCCTGCAGCCACATTAACAGTAAAGAGAAACAGGTCACCCTCTGCCTTTCCTTCTCTCTCTGTGTAACTCTAACTTTAAATAAATAAATAAATCTTTGAAAAAAATAGGTAAAACTAACTTTATTGAGATATTTTATTTAGCCTATGTGGGTGATCCTGTAACTGGCTGGGAGACTGCCTGCCTAGCCCATGCAGGAGGTTAAGAGGGCATGGCACACTATGCCTTCTGGGAAAGACCCTGGTTGGGGGTCTTTCCCATACATGACCTGACTGCTGGCAGGCGGCAGGGACCCCAGGCACATATCTCCCACCCCCACTTCCTGTTGAGGGGCCTTGTACAGCTCCTGGGTGTGGCCCAGACCCATAAGACCATCTGGAAGGATACATAGGTTATGTGACCTTCAGGTTGATTGGAGAAGCATAGACATGCCAGCATCTGCTTTATCCTATAGAATTAGTGTTGTTACCCTGAGCTAGCTACTCCCCTTTGTCTGCCCTATAAAAGCTTGTTCCTGATTGTTAATAAACAGACATGTTCACTGAAACTGTCTCTGGTGCTTCTTGTCGAAGAATGCCATTGCCCTACCATACCAACAGTGTGGGCCTTGCAGGAAAAACCTAATACAGTATACCCAAAATATCATCATCTCAACATGTAATAGATATAAAATTATTAATTAGATAATTTACATTCCTTTTTAAGATTTATTTATTTATTTGAAGATAGAATTATAGAGGGAGAGGGTGGGGGAGAGAGAGAGAGAGAGAGAGAGAGAAGTACCTTCCGTCTGCTGGTTCACTCCCCAGATAGCCACAATTGCCAAGGCTGAGCCAAGATGAAGCTGGGAGCCAGGAGCTTCATCTGGGACTCCCATGTGGGTGCAGGGGCCCAAACACTTGGGCCATCTTCTGCTGCTTTTACCAGGCCATTAGCCGGGAGCTGGATCAGGAAGTGGAGCAGCCAGGACACAAACTGGCATCCACATGGGATGTCAGCAACTAAGGCAGTGGCTTTACCTGCTGCTCTACAACACTGGCTCCTGTAGGTCACTTTTCAACCCAGCTAAGCCTCATCATCTTTATTTGAAAAAAAAAAATAAAGATATTAGTGCCTTTTTCAAGGCTATTTTTGGGGAGTAGATAAATAAAATAACCTCTGTGGAGGCTAGCCCAGCCACATCACTAGATGTTACTTATCACTGGTTACCACATGTTTGTTTCTCCGTGTGTTTGCAAGTCTCCTAAGAACAAGCACAACTGTGACCTGACTTTACATACCCAGCACCCTGTGTGCCTGCAGAGGAAATACTCAGTACAGTACTGGGGGATTCTTGCACAGTGCTTTGAAAGCCTTAGGTGAAAAGCACTTGGAAATAATGTCCTCCTCATTTTCATTATTCATCCATTCAACTCACTCATTTGCAATGCAGCATAGTGAAATGGATGGCAGCCAACAAGACTCAAGTTCAAATCCAGTTTTTTCCATGCACCAGTTTCAGCACGTCAATTTAAAGTCTTTGAACTTCAGTTTTTACATCTGAGAAGTAACACCCCAGTAGGTGGTTGTGAGGATCAAAAATGAGGTAATGTATGTGAAGACCAAGGTGTTCAGGAATGGGGCTGCTGTTCCTGCTCTGCAGAGAGTGCCTGCTGGTGCAGAGAGCCACGCTGAGCACCGGCCAGGCTGCAGGCCTTGCATTTCAGGCTTGGTGAGCATTCCTGAGCCTTTTATTGGCAGCCCTGGAAGATTCGGGCAGCTGGTAGCAAACTGGCACCAGTGTCTGGCAGAGACATAAAAATTGGGCCTCACCCTGTCAGGCCCCGTTCTTGCCCGCCCCTGCCTGGAGGCTAGTTCCAAACACTCCCCAGGACTGTGGGTGGTGAGAAGTGGCTGCTTTGAAGTCGGCAAGTGCACCCAAAGTCCTCTCTGCTTTTAAAACAACCCCAAACTAAACCCAACAATAAACCTCTCTGTGTGGCCGCCACACTGGGTCAGAGTCTGACAGTGCTTACCAAGGCAGGCGGGCCATTAACCCCTTCTTTCAATAGTATAGATGTGGTCTCCTTTGGCCCTGACAACATTTCCCAGAGGTAGATTAGTTTATTGTTTTTTTTTCTTCATTTATCTATTAAGATTTATTTGTTTATTTGAGAGGCAGAGTTATAGACAGAGAGAAAGAGAGAGACAGAAAGACAGATCTTCTATCTGCTGGTTCACTTCGCAGATGGCCACAACAGGTGGAACTGGGCTTATCCAAAGCCAGGAGCTTCTTTGGGGTCTCCCACATGGGTGCAGGGGCCAAGCACCTGGGCCAGCCTCCACTGCTTTCCCAGGTGCATCAACAGGGAGCTGGATCGGAAGTGGAGCAGCCGGGACTCAAACATGTGCCCATATGGGATGCTGGCATCACGGGTGGAGGCTTAACCTACTGCTAACCCACAGCACCAGCCTCTTTTGTTTAGTTTGTAAATTGTAAGAATGTGCACATAACATCAAGTTTGCCGTCTTAGCCATTTTTCCAGTGTTCAGTTTGTTGGGTACTGAAAACTGATGGTGAAGTGTAAGGGCATTCTCTAGCACCACCATCCATCTGCAGAACTCCTGTATCGTGCAAAACAGACTCTGCCTAATTAAACAACAGCTTCCCTTTCCTCTCTTCCCCCGGCCCCTGACAACCAGCACCCTGCTTCCCTCTCTGAATCTGACTACTTCAGGTACTTTTTGCGACTGGTTTTCTTCATCTAACCTAATGCCCTCTAGGTCCATCCCTTTGCAGGCATCCCTCCCTTTGCAGGCTGTCTACTATTCCTCTGTATACACACACCACGTTTGGTTTATCCATTCATCCACTGAAGGACATTGGAGTTGCTCCCACCTTTTGCTATTGTGAATAATGCTGTTATGCACATAGGTAGGCTAACGTCTCTTCAAGATTCTGCTTTCAGTTCTTCTGGGTGTAGACCAAGGAGTAGGGTTTAAAAATGGCTCTCCTTTTTTTATTATTTGTTTATTTTTTAAATTAAATTATTGGAAAGGGTGAGAGAGAGAAATAGAGATTTCCTGTCTGTTGGTTCACTTCCCAAATACCCACACCACCCAGGGCTGGGCCAGGCCAAAGCCAAGAGCCATGGTGACAGGAACTCAAGTACCTGAGCTGTCCTCTGCTGCCTCCCGGGATACACATTAGCAGGAAGCTGGAGTCAGGCGTGGGGCTGGGACTTGAACACGGGCACTCCCATAAGGAGGCCGGCATGCCAAGGAGAGTCTTGCTGATGTGCGGGGACCTGCCCCCTGGTTGGGAATTCTTAGAAGACACCCCGCACTGTTCTCCACAGCGGCTGCACCACCTGACATTCCCACCAGCAGTGCACAGGGTTCTAGTTTCTCCCTGTGTTCACCAAGTCCTGGTATTTTCTCCATTTTGCTGGCAGCCTTCGTACTGGGTATGGGGCGGCAATTCATGATGGTTTTGATTTTATGGTTTATGTGTTTTGAATTGTCATTTTGCAGGAGAGCAACTGTGATGTAGACAGATGAGGGAATTCTCGCGAGTTCCTCAGCCAGCCGGTGGAGAGAGCAGCCTGCAACACTGAGACATCAGTGCACAACGCTGCTGTCTCCGGAGCTAAACAGCCGACACCCACAAGCCTTGAATCTGACCCCGGGTGCCCCCAGCCACCTCCACCGATGTCTCCAGCCAGGCCACCTCCACCCACCCCGTCCCACAAGCATCCCACAAGACAGCCAGGGGGACGGGGTGAGCACAGGGACTCGGGAGCTGGCCCAGGCACTCTGAGCGGAGCGAGGTGGCCTGCCTGCCGCGATCTGGCGGTCACAAACCCTGCGGCTCCTCACATTCCTCACCCACGAAACTTCTGGGGAAGAGCGCTCACCGCACACGGTTGCTGGGAGAACTGAAGCGAGCCCTTGGCACGGCCCCTGCCCACACAGAGCTTCTGGGAACACTGCCAGCCGGGAGGCAGTGCCCCGGGTGCCTACCCCGCTGTGCTCACAGCCCCGCAGGGAGGTGGACGAGGACTAAATGTTGACCCCAGCCTCTGCTCGGTGGCAGTGGTGACAAGTGCTGAGAAGGACAAGGGCCCAGGGGGAACTGACCTTTCTCTGTTTCCCTGGGAACAGGACCAAGTCTGTTCCCATTTCCATTACATGACAGGTAAAGCAGCAGCTCTGACCCTACAACAGAGACTTGAAGGAAAAGGCTGAAGAATTTGCTTCAGCATTCACACTTAAAAAAAAAAAAAAAAAGATTTATTAAGGGGCCAGCGCTGTGGCACAGTGGGTTAAAGCTCTAGCCTGCAGCGCCAGCATCTCATATGGGCACCGGTTCTAGTCCCAGCTGTTCCACTTCTGATCCAGCTCTCTGCTATGGCCTGGGAAAGCAGTAGAAGATGGCCTAAGTGCTTGGGCCCCTGCACCCATGTGGGAGACCCAGAGGAAGCTTCTGGCTTCTGGCTTCGGATCAGCTCAGCTCTGGCCGTTGCAGTCATTTGGAGAGTGAACTAGAGGAATAGAAGACCTTTCTCTCTCTCTGTAACTCTGTCTTTCAAATAAATAAAATAATTCTTAAAAAAAATTTACTGGGGCTGGCGCCGTGGCTCACTTGGTTAATCTTCTGCCTGCGGTGCCAGCATCCCATATGGGTACCAGGTTCTAGTCCCGGTTGCTCCTCTTCCAGTCCAGCTCTCTGCTGCGGCCCGGGAGTGCAGTGGAGGATGGCCCAAGTGCTTGGGCCCTGCACCCGCATGGGAGACCAGAAGGAAGCACCTGGCTCCTGGCTTCGGATCGTCGCAGCGCCAGCCATAGCAACCATTTGGGGAGTGAACCAACGGAAGACCTTTCTCTCTGTCTCTCTCTCTCACTGTCTATCTGACAAATAAAAATAAATAAATAAATAAATAAAAATTTATTAATTTATTTAAGAGGTAGAGTTACAGACAGAGAAAGGGCGAGACAGAGAGAGAGGTCTTCCACCTGTTGGTTCACTCCCCAGTTGGCTGCAACAACCAGAGTTGAGCCAATCCAAAGCTAGGAACCAGAAGCTTCTTCCAGGTTTCCAACATGGGTGTAGGGACCCAAGGACTTGGGCCATCTTCTGCTGCTTTTCCCAGGCCATTAGCAGGGAGCTGGATCTGAAGTGGAGCATCCAGCCCTGGAACTGGTGCCCATATGGGATGCCGACACTGCAGGCAGCGGCTTCACCCACTATGCCACAATGCCGACCTCTCTTCTCTAATTCTTAAAGTGGAAACTGTGAACAGATTTTAGTTTTTTTTTAAGATTGATTTATTTGGAAGGCAGAGTGACACAGAGGAAGGGGGGGGAGGTCCTCTATCCATGGGTTCATTTCCCGAATGGCTACCACAGCAGGAGGGCTGGTGCAGGCCAAACTTAGGAGCCTGGAACTCCATCCGGGTCTCCCATGTGGGTGTCAAGGACCCTGGTACTTGGGCCATCTTCCACTTCCCTGGGATCAGAAGTGAAGCAGCAAGGGCTGGAACCAGCACTCTGATACGGGATGCCAGTATTGCAAATGGTGACTTGACTCACCGCACTGCAACACTGAGCCCCTAGATACTTTATTTTAAAAACACATCCAAGCCATGTCTTTTAGGAGAGACAAGCCAGACTGGTGTGGGGGTCAGATTGGAAGAGTGTGGAGTCCATTATCTGATGAACACATCTGCTCTGTGAGGGCAACATGGTGTTTGTGTAGCTCAACACTGCATGCCCCGCGTATACAACATCCATAATAAGTGATGCAAGAAGTATGCCATCCAGCCAATATTTCAAGTGCCTACTGTGTGCCAGGCAGTAATGATGTCGATTCATGTTTGTCTAAAATCCACCTACCAAGGTACCAAGTGTCCGATGGAAACAAATCTAAGCCTTACCCCTCCAAGAAATGGGAAAGGTCAGCCTCATTTGGGCAAAGGTAGAACCTGCGTCTCCCGGGCAGTACGTGTTCTGCCTGAATTCTCATATCCAGTAAGTGGCAGAGGCCGGCTGGGAGCCTGCGTCTCTCACCAGCCATCACCACACTTCCTTGCCTGGGGCACCCCTCCAGCCTCCCTGTGTGCCACTCACCCCTTCTCACTCAGATCAGCCTGTGCTGGGAGAAAAAGCATGTGGGTGGTAACTCTCCGGTCTCTCGCTTGATTCAAAGAGGGGCCCGCCTTCTTTCTCCCTCCTCTCCTAGGAATCACTGAATTACAGGGCTGGGCAGTTCCACTCTCGGCGCTGGAGGCTTGGGCGGAACTCGCCGAAGCCCCTCCCAGGAGCCAGCACTTGGGTGAAGTAGAGGGGCAGAGTCTGCCCTCACCTGCTTGCTCGCCCGCCTGCCCGCCTGCCTGCGGTCACTGCCGGCCTTGCTAATTAGATCCCCTTTCATCTGCTGAGCCCAAGAGCTTTCCCCCACAGTAAGTTGTTAATCTTAGCCCCATCTCTCTGATGCAGATGACAAGCATAATTAGTCCTAGGCAGGAGACAAAACAGAGCCAGCAGACAGCCCAGAGCCAGAAGAAAAACACAGAGCAGCTTAGCCCCCTTCTCTCATTGTGCTCCCCACTGAAAGAAGTGTTTACAGCCTCTTCTTTTCTTTTTTTTAAGAATTATTTTATTTATTTGAAAGACAGAGTTACAGAGAGGTAGAGCCAGAGAGAGAGAGAGAGGAGAGGCAGAGAGAGAGAGAGAGAGAGAGAGAGGTCTTCCTTCTGCTGGTTCACTCCCCAAATGGCTGCAAGGGTCAGAGCTGAGCTAATCTGAAGCCAGGAGTCAGGTGCAGGGCCCAAGCACTTGGGCCATCTTCC